ATGGTAGGCATTAATAATGGTGTTTATGTAAAATTGAAAGAAGATATACCATCATTAATACATATCCCATGCATATGTCATTCACTGCAATTAGAAGTATCAGCTGCAGCAGCTGAAACCTTACCTAGAAATATAGATTATTTAACTAGAGAGACCTACAATTGGTTTTCGCGTTCTACTTTAAGACAAGCTCAGTACAAAAATTTGTTCAAAGCAATTAATGATGGCCATGATCCATTAAAGATAGTTAAAGCATGTGCTACTAGATGGTTATCAATAGAAACAAGAGTAAGTTGTATTCTAAAGCAATGGGTTGAACTTAAAACTTTATTTGGAATTGCCAAGCAAAATGAAAAATGTTATATGGCTGATACTTGTCATGCAATGTACTGTGATCCTAACAACTTTGCATATTTAAAATTTTTATATCCTATTCTGGAAGAAATTCAGAAAGTCAATAAATCTTTCTAGTCAAATACAGCCGATCCAAGCAAATTACTTACAGATTTAACCGATATGGTGCGGTCAATAGCAAAACGATTTATTAACCCACAATGTCTCTCAATCCATTGACAGAAAATGTGGATAGTTATACTATGAACAATGTTTATTTTGGTTATGAGTTTGAACAAATATTACTATCAAGTAAATCCTCTGAAGTTAGTAAACAACAATTAAAACAAAGGTGCCTGAAGTTTTTACAAGTTTTATTAAAGCAGTCGCAACAACGGGTGCCAAAAAACATTGATGTATTAGAAAAAGTACATTTAATTTCAATTAAAAATGCATTGCAGTGTATGAAAGAACCGCTAACTCCTTTAGCAGAATTATTCATATTAGAAGGAAGTACTATTGATAAAATAAATGTACAGTGGGCCAACATTGTGAGTGTAAAATGGGTGGAGAAGTCTAATACTGTTAGTTTTTGGGATGAAGTTTTCAATTACACTGATGCAAGTGGTTTGAATCCATTTGCTGAACTTTCTTCCCTTGCTATAAGACTTCTTGTACTCCCTTGGTCCAATGCTGAGGTCGAACGGTTGTTTAGCCAGATGAATATTGTAAAAACTAAACTAAGAAATAGAATGGGCCCTAAACTATTAGATAGCATCTTAACAGTAAGAGCAGGGCTAAAAAGAAGTAAGGTATGTTGTTCTGAATACCAGTTGCCTTCAGGAGTGTTAAAGCAAATAGGAACGTCGTTTTATTACGATGAAAATGTGAAAGATACTAGTTCAACGTCTGACGCGGACTTGGATTGTGCCGCGTGGTGTGGTGATGTGGTGGTGATGACCGACGGTGAGTCGGGTCGAATACAAACAAACGGGATAGTAAAAGAAATGACAAACAACGAACGGCGCACTGCTGTATTATTGGTTTTTATTTCTACAAGTGACAAGAGTCAAAACAAAAAGAACATTCAATTTAATGACACGATTTCTACGGTATCGAGTTCACACGGGAACGAGTGTCGACTTTCGGAGGACTATCCGGGTCGGTGTCGTGATGATGAGAGAGCGCGTCTTGACAATCCGGTTCGCCGGACGGTCGTCGTCGTCGCCGTCGTCCGTCGTCGATTGGCGGTTTGATTGAGAAGCCACGGCGCGGCTTCCGCGCAAAGGCTGTTTGAATTCAAACAGATTTTGAGCGGGACCGCGTCACGTCGAATGAAGGAACCATAGAAACTATAATATCCAACAACGAAGATAATAGTATCTATGATGTTGGTTTACTATTAAACACAGAAATTCATTTTTAATTTTTAGTATTGTTTTCTTTACACAATTATACAGTTAATGAATAATGTTGCTGTTATTTGTTTATTTATGTGCAATGTATAAGTTAGATGTGAACTGTTAAAACTAAAGTTTGTTATTTTTTTTTTTAATATTTAATAAAAAGGATTATACTGTAAAGAGTAAAGACTGTGTTAAAACATTACAATCTTATAATGAAGGTGTATTGATATCACAGAATATAATAATCATTAAAATCTTCGTTCGTGGGTAATAAGCACGATTAAAGATATAATTTAATCGTGGTAATAACTAATAAGTGATAAGTGATAATATTTTATCAGAGGAATGAAATTGTCTCATGGCGTTATCAGCGTTATCTAGTAATTTTCTGAAAAAAAATATTTAGCCTTTTATAGCTTTAACAGTACATGGGTTTTGCTTTATTTGACTTGTATATTATGGAAACACTGTTGGGGTTCGGCGTCGCTGAAGCCGTCAGTCGTGATGCGCGAAAAGTGATTATTCTCTCGTGGGACAGACTATAATGCATTGTCCTATGTGCGTTTAGTTGTGTTTGTGATGCCAACGTTTATTGTAGTGCGAATTTTATACCTAGGTACGAACTTTATTGCTCTATGGCTAGCAAAAGAAAACGATTAACTTTAAATTAATTTTTGATTTTTTTCAGAAATGTTAGTTTTTATTTTTTTAAGATGTATGTATTTAATTAATGTAAAAATTAAAATACAAATTTAGGTAACTGTTTTTTTTTCATAAATGTTAGTTTTATCGTGTATTCAATTAATGTAAAAATAATATAAAATAAAATTATTGAATTTATTTATTTGTTAAAAAAAAATGTTTTCCTCTAAATAGCGGACAAAATTTCGGCGACCGATAGTGTCCGCTATTCAGAGGTTTCACTGTACTTAAGTATCAGGCTGAAATCGTAAAAGATGACGGTAAAAGTAAGTTATAATTTTATTTATCTGTAGAAAATAAACATAATTAACAAAGACTTAATTTAGTGGTGATTTCCTATATACCCTGAACCATTTCACTAACACACAATGTTTACTTCTTTGTATTTATACTCATGTTTATGATATTTCGTAATTTGAATTTAATTAATTAATTATTTATGTTTCATCACGATGTTATTAAACTATTTACTCCTAAATATCATTTTCAAGAATCGAATAAATAGTTATTCGTTATTTCCGTACTCGTCGCTCGTGCCGATGACGCCGCTCCAGCATACCGTTTATCTCATTAGCTTCATTCGATTTGTAAATTTCCTTTATAAATTCATCATAACAAATTAGTGTGGTATTGCACTAAACTTTTATCCGTTCAATTTGATTTCAATTATATACTTAATATCATTGTAAAAGAAAAACGATTTTGAGGGAAGACGGTCAGTCACCTTATGATATTACTAAGTACATTTGCTGATATTATTGTGAATTAAGTAATTTACTATAGTTATCATAATAATAACTATAGTAGCTTCCGCAAATCAAAAGAAACATAAAGGTACAGATGGTATATAATAAGATAAAATACAAAGATTTGCAACTTCTCTATAAGCATTCAGCATAGCTTGTGCTGGGGAGATTTGTTGAATTCAAATATTGACAATAATAAACATTTCTAAAATATAACTAAAAATTACATCATTTGTGATTAATCATAAATTAATTTGTGTAAGATCAACATTGTTTTAGCAACATTTCAAATCATTTACATTTTTAAAATAATTGGGTATTTCTATCAGATGTTTTTATTTATTTATTCTAATTATTCTAAATTATTTTATTACAATTAAAATAGAACTTTTCATGCCAAAATATTTATGGTAAAGAGGTAGGTTCATTTAGATTAATATTTATGTTTTAACGTGTATTATAAATATGATTAACATAAACAGTATTATTTTTAAATTTATGAAAAGACAGTAATAAATTCTTATAGCATGAACATTATTATACATTAAGTAGATTAAAAACATTGTATACAAATTCATTGTTAGTAAGCCTAGGTATATTAAATTTAAATGCACATTTAATTACATTATTTAATGTAATATTTAAAGAATGAAGATGATACTCGAAAAGACAATATCATAAAATAGATTGAACTAAAGCTAAATAAATTGAATAAAAAAATTGACAAATAGTATTTGTAAGATTATTAATATGATAATTCCATTTAAGTTTATAATAAAGTGATGCCTAAATAATTAATATATCCTTCGTCTACTAGCACTTATCTTGCCTTCTATTTTTTATTGAAGTACAAGTAGCAGCAATCCATATCTATGATTATTTCTCAATATGTGACCCAGGTATTCTAATTTCCGTGTTCTTATAGTCTTCAGTAATTCTAAATCCTTTTTTATTATTTGTAGTATGCACACGTTGAATAGTCGGTCTGTCCATAAGATATTTAGGATACTGCGGTACAGCCACATTTCCAATGCCTCAATTTTCTTACTCAATGTTTCAGTTAATGTCTATGTTTCTACACCATATTATAATAAAATAGGAAATATATAACATCTTAATATTATAATCTTAGTATCCAGTGAAAAATCATGATATTCTTAAACATTTTCACGAATGCACCTCTGGCCATCTCAATACTTTGTCCCCAGTCTTCTTTTACGCATGTACAGAGATTTATACTTTTGAACCTTTTATATCTGTTGTCCTATAATAAAATTAATAGTTTTTCTTTAAATTTTGTTTTTTTTTTAAATTACTTTATATTTGGTTTTGCTTATATTTATAGACAACCCAAAACTTTCACTTACATCCACTATTCTATCTACATTTTTTTAGAGGCTTAACATATTATTCGTGAATACAACTGTATCATCGGCTTATCTTATGTTGTTAATACATTTGCCGTTTATTTTTATGCCATCGTTAACATCATCCAAAGCTTCGCAAAGTATGAATTCAGAATATAAGTTAAATAAAAGTAGTGAGAGGATGCATCCCTGTCTCACTCCTATTTTTATTGGAATATCGTTTGACATTAATTCTTCTTCTACTCGTATAGCAGAAGTTTGGTTCCAGTATAAATTGCTTATTATACTCGGGGCTTGATTGTCAATTCCAGTCACTTCTAGTATTTTTATAAGTTTGTCGTGTTCAACTCTATCGGAAGACTTCTGATAGTCAATGAAACAAGCATATACACCGTGATTAATATTTATAGAAAAAAAAACTGAAAAATTGAAATTTGAAATTCTCTGTAAACAGTTCAAAACGAGTCAAAATATTTTCAAAATTTTATGGTGTACAGAAAAAGAAAATATAAACATTCATTCAACATTTCATCTACGGTTAAGTGTTTTAGAATTACACCAAAAACCCAAATTGATTTGGCGGAAAACCGATAGCCAGATACAAAAAAAAAAATATTAAAACACACATAATTGTAAAATCAATAAATTCATTCATCGCTCCACTCAATATCCAAAAAATGTACGAGATTGGAACATTATTTTGAATTTAAAAAATTTACTACATTTAGTAATATCCAAATACCTATAGTAATATAGTAGGATGACTACCGTCTTCGCTAAGAATCGTTTTTCGTATACAATGATATTATAGTATCATTGAATTCAAATTTAATACCATCAATTACAGTGGCTCACTTGTAACCTACTGTACAGCAGAGTGACATTCACTCCCCCACCTTTTTATTATTGAAATTTAG